GGGGGGCGGCCGCGGCCGCGGTGCCCGAGACCCGGGAACACCTCTTCAAAGTGCTGGTCATCGGCGAACTTGGCGTGGGCAAGACCAGCATTATCAAGCGCTACGTCCACCAGCTCTTCTCCCAGCACTACCGAGCCACCATCGGGGTGGACTTCGCCCTCAAGGTCCTCAACTGGGACAGCAGGACGCTGGTGCGCCTGCAGCTGTGGGACATCGCGGGTAAGCGGGTGCCCAGAGCCGCCGACACGCGGGGACACCGGAGCCGGCGGGCGGGCGGCGGCCTCCGGGAAGGGGGCGCCCGTCAGGTTTTCCAGCCGTCGGGAGCCAGGGGCACTCAGGTCCACGCGGTCCCCATTCTCCTCTCTGTCCTCGGCCTGAACTCAGCAGCCTGTGTGTGTTTAGAAGAAAGGGACTATCACTTAGAAGGACGGAAAGGGATGTGGTCGAGTGGACTCCAGTGGGGTCAGGACAATGGAACGAGCAGTAGTAGAAAATTTAAAAGCAGGATAAGATGTATAAGTGCATAAATAAGTAAGCCTGGTTAGATGCCTCAGCTAAGTCTGTATTTAAGAGATGGAAAGGGGGCCCTCTACTGCGGGGCTCTCACCTGACCAGAGTGGGGAAAGCCATGAGGGCTTATCTTGAAGTTTTCACTCTGAATCTTGCCAAGGAAGAGTTAGGGGAAGACTCCTGGCTCCTCTCATTCCCGTTAACGTTTCACAGATAAGAGCTGGGGTTCAAAGTGGCTGAATGACTTACCCAAAGTTAGGCACCTAGTTAGTGGCACAACCAAGACCAGAAACCTGGTTCCTTTTCAGATTCTCCATCACCACCTTGAGTCTGAGACGCTTCGTTGTGAGTGAAACCCCACTCACCATATACCATGTTCTCATTCCTTTGCCACCCAGGAGAGGATTTGGGAAAGGTGACATTCCTCCCTCCCTGAACCAACACCTAGCCCCACTTCTGTCCCCCAACTCCTGCCCCATATATTGTTTCCCTGGCATTTGCTTTCAGTTACCATTTTGGAGCATAAAACCCCTGTGTGAGGGGGTACATATTCTCCTTGCTTTGATTTATGAAAACTTGAACTCTGGCTGGTGTGGCGGGTAGGATGTGCACATTTAAAAAGTTGTTAACTTTTGGAAAGTTTCAATATGGAAGTGGTACCAAGAGTTGCCTTCCTCAATCACTGTTAAGTAGCTCAGTGTATCTTAGAGCATTTTGATGGGAGCATGTTCAGGGATGGAGAGACCATCTTTTGTCCTCCAGATGCTTAACTGAAACAGGTAGAAGATATGGTCACCCAGCTGGTAGCAGAGTCAAGGGCCACAGGTCTGTTTGCCCGGTAGTGTTTTTTTCCATCAACAGCTTATTACATATGAGAAGGTACTGAAGAATTAACAACTTATATGTGCATTTATTTAAGAACAGGCTTCTCTATGTCTGATACAGGAATAAATTTGTTTGTCAGTCCCTCTGAGAAAGAGGGATAATCAGCCTTGGGCTCAGCTTTTTTTTTTTTTCCTCTTTGGGTTTCAGAAAACCAAAAGTCCGTTTGAAAAGTCATCTTTTGAAGCCAGAGGCTTCTTTCGAAATACTTCCTGCTTTTTTACAAAGCACTTAAGAACAGTGATACTGCTTCTTGACAAAGTCATGGATTGTAAAGGCTGCTTTACCAAGTGAGAGTCATTCTCCAGGAATTTTCAGTGGAGCCTTGGGTTTCCATGAAGATGATTTTAAAATCCTGGCCTAGGAGGATTGTTGACTTTGCCTCATTCTTCATGTGAAATAATGTGATATTTAGCAATTAAATTGTGATTGGATCCTATTGCAGGTCAATAAAAGATTTTTGTGGCACAGTTGTGTTTTTAAACCTCAAGGAAAAATGCTTATACTTGGAGACTTGGGAAAACAGAAGCATGAGTAAGCGTTTTCTTCTGGATGTCACCTATTTTTTCATCCTTCTTGAAGAGACCTATTTTGCCAGGAAGGGGATATAGTCACTCTTTACCAGACTCTGGTACATGTCGGTCTAGCTGGAATATCCTTGCACATTTGCCTAAAGCCAAAACTTGAGCTTGTCCAGGAAGAAAGCAGACCTTTCAGATCTCCAGAAGGGATTCCTGGATATTAGATAACCATTCAGCAGGTACACACCAGCAATGAACAAGACTGGAGGTAAACTTACGAGCTAATTGGAAATTATTAGGCTCATCTTATAAATAAGGTTTTCAGAGGTGGAGCTTTAATACATAAGGAAACTAAGAGCAAAAATAACTTGGCTTTAATGTAACGTGTAGGAAGCTCCATCATTAACTACATTTGGTTTGAATGTCTGAGCCACTGGTGACTCCTAGCTCATACCATTTGAATGAAGTAGGAATGATGTAATGAAGGCAAACTGAAGGCCACTCCAAAAAGCTTCCCCCATGGCTAAACATATTTGCCTTATGTAGTAACAAAGTTAAATCATATTTAATTCTCAGAAGAGATAAATAGTCCTTGATTGCAAAATAATAGGTGGCACTGGCCACTTGATATGATTAACTTAAGGTATGGTGTTACCACTAGTAAGTTTTTTTTTTGTTGTTTAAAGATGGGAAAGGTGGTAAAGAAATTATGTCAAGTCTCTATACTTGGAAGCTTTGGCAGCTGTGACAGGCAGGAGTTGTCCAAAGGTTTTCTATAAATGTGATCAAGGAGTTTAAGCTAAACTTTTTAAATTAAGAACCATCGTGACTCTTGGGTGCATGCCTTACAAATCCTTTCTTGTTACATTAAGTGAACGTAGCTTTAAATACAGATGCAATTTAATGCAATTTTTGTTTTCTGCAGTTGCTCTCTTTTACTGTATACCTGCTCTAAGGCTGCTGCTCAACACATCACTGAAATATACTAGAATATTGAAGTCTCTGATAAGATTTTAAAGGGAATTTAGTAAATGCATACTAAATTAAGATGCATACTGATCTTCCTTTTAACACTTATTATAAATGAAGTAGTATTTGGCTCATTACTTATTATAATCTTATTAGCAACTTTAGACTTTCCCAGGTAGGTTGAATGGCTGGTCTGGCCAAATCTTTTTTTTTTTTTTTTCTTTTTTTAAGTTCGTCCATTTAGATAGAATAATTTAGGCTTCATATATTCATTGAAGTGATTTGCTTTTGGCCAGGAGGCGAAAGTTTATCTCTAGCTTCTTAGAGTTTTCATCTGGGCCTGAGAATTAATGTGAAATGGGTTAATAGCAGAAATTTATTTAATCTAAGAATTCTGTGACACAGGAGCCCTCATAAGGAAATGAAGATCCAACAAAAGTAGCAACATCGAAATGCTTTTATGCTAGGTTGAATAGAGAGAGGCAATTGTAGAAAAAAAATCAACCTCTGTGGGAAGGTTAAAGGAAGATAAAGGGTTATTTTTAACAAGATCTGTTTATACAGAATTCTCTCAGCTTGACTCCCCATCTCTGGTGATGAGAATGTTCCTTCCTCCTGGTCTAGGGAGGACATCTTTCACAAGGAAGTTCTCTCTTGATTTAAGGAAGGAAAGGGGGAGATTAGAACAACCTTCATGCATTTACTGTTTTTCAAGTGCCTTTAGTTAAAATAATTCTTAGGCCAAAGTGTCATTTTTGGGGGTGGCCTATTCTGCCACCCTTCACTTTTTAGGATCAAAATTTCTTTATAAAAATCAGAGTATTAATCCTTTGGGCCAAAGAGCAAATCAGGAACAATGCAGTCTGAAATTCATGTAAATATTATTTACCAAAGCTTAAAGTACATGCTTGGAAGACATCATAAATTATCTAAACCATTCTTAGATTCACTTTTTATTTTTTTGATTCCCATCTGGAAATAGAATATTGATCCTGACTTTGTTGTTCTGTCTTGCGTGTTGCTAATTATTACACCCAGTGAGGTCTCTTGTCTTCTTTGCTAACCTTCCAGCTCTTCAGGAGCAAGAATCTGGGATATTATCTCTTATGCTTTCTTGACCTTCAGAGTATCTGTCTAAATATGAAGCAGTGCTTTGAAGAATTAGTCTGTTATCCAGAGTCTCTGTCTTAAACACTGAGTACTACAGTAACTTTCTTAGGGCTTATTGGTGGCCAGTTACTTAATAACTCACTTAAAGAGATTTTTAAAAAATCTTTATTACACCTGATTCTTGTAGATTCTTGTACAATCTTGCTGTCTTCAGCCTTATTCTGGTTCAATTTCTGTGCTGAATTACAAGCAATGCCTGCTGTTCCACTTGACAACTTCAAGTCTTCCTCGGCATGTGAGTTTTGACATACCTTTGGGTGCCGCAGTCTAGACGGTGCTTTCACAATTGCCCAGTCAGGAATTTCAGCATAACAACATATTTGTGTTATCGCCCACAAAATTTCCCCTGATAGTGATATGCCTGTTGCCTTTCCTTTTTTTAAATGTTACCATTCCTAGTTGCCTAAGTTAGCCCACATAAGCTAACAGGTCCTCAGGTTAGAGGCAGAGACAGCCAAGTGCGGACAAGAGATACTAAACCTTGACTGGGCTCCCAACCATTTGCCTAATTATTCTACTGTCTGAACTGGGCTGTCGACATTGAGAGACATCATAGTCTAAATATTGGGAGGTGTGGTAAGTTGACCAAGAAAACACAGGTAATCTGTGGCACTGCACAGAGACAGGTCCCATGACTCTGAGATAATGACAGCGAAGGTTTCTAATTAGAGTGGATTTTTGGTTCACTGGTTTCAAAACAGTAGCATAAACTCTTGTTTAAGTTTGCAGACATTCTGGTCACCCCTATTTTGGAGAATATGACTCATATTTGATACCCATCATAATGCATACCCCCTCTTTATGTTATCAATCCAGAATTTCCAGTACTTATACTTAGTTACGAAGCATAATACTTACAAGGTAGACACTTTTTGATTGGCTTAATCATTTTTTGGTACATTTTGAAAGACTGTTTCTAAACTGTGGACTTTTCTGAAGTATCAAAGCTGTTTTTTTCTGGTATCTGGTTGCAGAGCACAGCCTGGAAAAGCCAGGTAATAATTACCGCAGTCTGCCTGGTCTACTCCGTGAGGTCACTGATTAAGTCCATATGCCATGCTTTGTGCCAGGGGTGCAGTGTTATTTTCAAATACATTTTAGGAGCAATTTTAATCCATCATGTATATGTTATCCTGACCTTCCAATTTTCTTAAGCTTTTGATATGT